CACTAATTTTACCTTCAGATCATCGTAACTTCATTCAAAGTGGACAGAAACAGAATAAAACTCTAAAGTTTGACTAAATATCTTTATGGAGCTAATCGCTGTTTGCTGCTATATTGTTTTAAATCTCGTTTAAATATAACCTTTAAGCTTTAGTGCAGTTTTAATGCCGTTGGGTCTGTGATATCCTAGCTTACGTTTCTACATCCAGCTGGTTGTGTGAGGTCGAAGGTCGTCTCTGCAGCTGGGTGACTGTCGTACAGCGGAGGAGCTGACTCACCGGCTGCAGCTGACCGACACATCTTCACAAACTTTAACCCCTCAAGGTGAAGGGAAATGCACAGGTGCTGACCTCTGACCTCTAAGCAGCTGAGACCGGAGGTGAAACATTCACAGATGGAGGAGGTGGTTTAAAGAGACTGTTTTATTTTTCACAAAAACTCTTTCGTGTTTCTCCTGAACCCCTAAAATACCTCCAGTAATGTTGTGAAAGTGAAATACTCTGAAAGGAGAGAGGACGGCAAATCTTTCTGTTGACCTTTGGTGACCTTTAAACTGTGTTACACAACGACAGACACTCAGAACAGACAGAAATCAGTGTTTTTTAGGGAAAATTGAACATGTTAATCCAATAAACTTTGACCTACACACAGAAAAAGGAGGGTCTCCAATGGTTGCAAGAACCAATCATACAGATCTGTTCTTTAGTGGCTTATCACAATTATAAATCTGATTTAATTAACTGTGAAATTTGTTTTATATCAAATAACTTGAGCCTCTGATTGATTGGATTGATTGAGGTTCAGTTCTTTGAAGGTACTTGCTGGTTTAGAGCTTTCTTCATCACCTCAAAGCTTCAGGAAACCCTCTGGATTAAATATGTGTGCCATCAAAGCTTCTCTCTGGTTAACCTCTGACCTTTCATGTCCTCTTCCTTCTCCTCACAGGAAATTGAGTCCCTGCTGGTGAACTGGAGTGGGCCAGACCTCAGTGGGTTCGGTGAGCTGGTTCTGGAGGGTTCGTTCAAGGTCCACAGGGTGAAGAAGGAGAGAGCCTTCTTCCTGTTCGATAAGATGCTGCTGATCGCCAAAAAGAGGCTGGAGCAGTTTGTCTACAGCACACACATATTCGTACGTCTGACAACACATTTTTATTTGTTAATATGGACATTCTGATTACTAAAACCCAAACTTTATCGACCTACGGTGGCCTAAATGCGACTGACCCTTGATTTATCATCATAAAAACAAACAAATTTAAGGAAAATCAGACACAATCTTCAGCTTTGGTGTCATTAACCCTCGTTCTGAGCAGCTCTGTGACCTATATAAGTGTTTCAACTCATGTTTGTCTCTCTGCTGCAGTGTTGTAATCTGCTGCTGGTCGAGACTCTGAAGGATCCTCTGTGTTTCAAAGTGTCAGATCAGACGATTCCCAAACAGCAGCACACCGTCCAGGTGAGTGTTGGTACCTCTCTGATATCACTTCATTAGTTATTATAGTGGAGTAGTGATCCACTGAACCCACTCTGGGGTTGTTCAGTTGGGTAGGTAGGGATGAACCAATATTAATGTTTTCAGACCAAATCCAATTACTTATTTTTGGGTACTTTGTTTTATTTTCATCAGATGTTTCCCACTTTCTGATTTTAACAAATTAAATGTTGTAAAAGTTGCTTAAAAAACTCCCCAAACTTTTTCTCTGTCTACCTGCTCAACTAACAAGAAGTTACGCTGCCATAGAGAAGTATCGGGGTAGTTTTACTGATTAGTAAATGTATATTGTAACATGTATATTTAACATAAAAGCCATCTTAATGTGTTGCTCATAAGTAGCTGGAAATTTGATTAAAGTAGGTAGGAATTTCAGACCAATGTCTCATTCTTGGTTCAAGTGAACTTCAAGAATCGGATGTCTGAGTCATCAGCTGATTAACATCCTATGATCGATCTTATGTATCAATGTTACAGCGCAGGAAGATGAAATAATGACCAATATTTCTCTCAGGCATTGCGGAGTCCCTCAACTAATAGAAGAGATAAAAATGACTTGAATTAAACAAATATACAACATATTGTATCGAGAGTGCATGAAAACTACGTCTGAGTACCTTATGTACCTACTGTTGTTCATATTATATGTTTAATATTTAAATCATTACTGCAGACAAAGAACCAGGAGGAGAAGAGACTGTGGGTGCACTACCTCAAGAGACTGATCGTAGAAAACCATCCTGCTTCTCTACCACAGAAGGTAAGGAGGAAAGGAAGGAGGGAGGGAGGGAGGGAAAGATTGAGGAGGGAAGGAGGGAGGGAAGGATGGAGGAGCAACAAGAGTTTTTCTTGCAGTCGTGGCATCAACTATATACTAGTTGTTGTATTAGTACCAGCAGGGAGAACAGGATTCCTGCAGTATAGAAGTACCAGTAACTATATTAGCAGTACTGGTAGAAGTTGTAGTAATAATTGTAGTAGTACAGCAGCTGTAGCACTTTTAAAAATAACAATATGGGTTGTAGTAGCATCAGTATTAGAAGTAGTATTAGTAATAATACTCGTAGTTGCAGTTGGAGTTTTCTGTTGGTCTTTGCTGCCACCTGCTGGTTGTTCACACAATCTCTTCACTGCACTTAAAACACTTATTAGTTGGACCTGTCACCAAAATCAAAACCAATCACTAAACGAATAATAAACTGATTAATCAATACTGTTGTATATGGAAACCAAAACATACTTTAGTTTTAGAATATTTTGGAATGACCTTTTCCTTTTTTTCTTTCTCTGAATGCTTTCTACTTACATAATACAAAACATTTTCTTTATGAATTTGTTTATAAGCAGCAACCGAATTGTTGGACCAATGGCTATTCTGTTCATATGTTTCACACTGTTTATTTATTTTATTTGTATATTTGATCGGGACAGAACACGTTAATGAACATTAATATAAGGTAAACATGCAGGAGTTATTTACATCTGAGGCAGGTAACAAACACAGAACCATTACAAATGACAATATCCAGATACACATGTACATTTTTATTTCAAAATTATTATTATTTATTTTTATTTCCACATAAAAGTCAAATCTGTGAAAGATCCCAGCTGTAATCTTATGCATACTGTTCGTACTTCTGTGCATTTATTCCTCTACAGCAGTAAAAGTACTGCTTGCTCTCAGAGATCTGTTTCAGGGTAACAATGGACTCCTTTCCCATCATGCATTAGGACGGGTCACCAGGAGGATTCAGTTTTATTACTGAGTGTTAAACAGAAACAGACGCTGACTGTCAGAAAGTTCATTTTGAAGAAGCAGCGTTCTTCTTATCGTTGTTATTTTCAGCTTCATAAAGTCGGACTGGTTCTGAAGATTCAGTCGTTTATCTTCTGTCTCTTATCAACCTCGAGTTTAACTGACGTAAGAATGTTTTATGCCCCGATGACTCACCGAGTATTATTCTTTCCAGGCGAGGCAGGTCCTGGGAGACAACTTCTGTCAATGTAAGTTCACACACACACACACACTCATAGTCTAACTTATATCACTTTTGGGGACCCAAACTACTACAGGCCCAAAAGTCCCAAAAATCAGCTCTTTCCAAATTGGGTCCTCATTTGGACAAGCCATCCCCAATTAGTTGGTGTTTATTCTGTGTCCCCAAACGTAGACTAAGTCAGAGTCCACACAACCACACACACACACACATATTTCTGTCAGCTTTTACTGTTATATATTGTTCTTCTTGCCAGTTATCCATGAATTAATTAACTCTGAATAGCTGTTTCTAGCTCGTGCCAGACAGTGTTGACATCACTTCACTATTTCAGCTCCTCAGTTCGACCAGGACAACCTGAAGAAGTCCTCTTCGCGATTGGATGACATCCACGGCTATCACAGAGGCAGACGTCAATCAGGTCAGGGTTAGTCGTCTTTTTACTCCAGATAAAAACATCACACAGCGTCAAGTTTCCGTATATTCCTTCCCTGAGCCGTAGAGCTCCACTGTTGTTCAAAAACTATTAAAAACACATAATTGAGGCACACTGTTGCTTCATTAGCATGAACACAATGTAGTTTATTTATACTGCCCCAAATACTCACTAGAGCACCAAATGTGGATTCATCCGCCACTGAAAATAGTCTCTAACAAACTCATTATGTCCTCCTTATTTGTTTAATAGCACCGATCTTATTTCTTAACCTATTTTAAAGCAAAATAAAGTCTCGTTATCCAAAAATGAACCAATCAGTGACTTTACTTTAAAGCAAACCTGTAGGAATCTTCAAAATAAAGTATAAAATAATTATTTATGTCATTATTCTCTTTATGAATGAAATATCGCAAACAATAACTCTTATCTTTACAGAAAATATCCATAAAAGTTTCATATAAAGCTCTGTAGGTTTCTGTAGAGTAAACAAAGTAAGAGGTTTGTTTAAGAAGCTGTGTCATATAAAAGCTATAAATGCAGATGAACGTAGTCGTAGAAGAACGTTAAACCTTTTAAAGGTTATTATACAGAATTCACTTCCTGCTGGATGTCGCACCAGAAACCAGCATCTCTAAAACAATGGAAGCTACCACCCACCAGACTCCAGAGACAAAAACAGTAATTTTACCTTCTGATCATTATAACTTCATTAAAGTGAACAGAAACAGAATAAAACTGTTTCTGTTCACTCTCTGTTAGTGTTTCCAACAGTCACCAACTCTGGTTTGGTGGAAACAAATCCTTAATTCACCGATTTAAAAATAAAAACAGCAGTTTAACCGGCTGTGGAAACAAACCACAGAGAGGCTGCGATACAACACAGGCAGATGGAGTGAGACACCATGTGACTCTGAATCTTTATATAGAGGATAGCTGGTTAGCTGATATATTAATGTTTTAAATCTAATATTTAACCTTTTTGTTTGTCCCTCCAGAGCCTCCAGAGCTGCTGATGTACACACCTGAGAAGTCCAGGAAGGGTTTGCCGCTGCTGCTGGAGGGAAACCTGCCGTACAGACGCACCAGGAGACAGTCAGGTAGACGGAGACAGTTCATCTAAAGACTCACAGGACTCTCAGGGACCACAAATCCACAGCGCAGACTTTTAATTCTTCCTTCATATGCAGATGCTTATTTGCTCCTGAGAAGAAAAACTGCTTTAATCCAGTGCCAGCAGATTAAATAAAGTCTTTGCTTTCTTTTCCAGCTCCAGCTAAAGACATCGAAGCAGCGTTCCACCCCAACGGTGAGGCACACATCCACCCTGAAGCCTGATTTATTCTGCCCTACGAAGCCAAACCGCACTCAGAATTGATTTACAACTGAAAATTAAGTTTTAAGTGTCTGTTTTACGTTCAAACCTCAGTCTTGCTTGTTCTTACACAACAAAATAATGATAACAGTTCACTAAATGTATGTTGCACTATATATCTGTTTATACAAAGACTGGGTGCAGGATCTGCAGTTTTGGGGTCATAGGTCAAATATTTGGTCATTATTTTTAAGCCATGAACATTTGGCTGCACAGTAAAAACACCATTTAATACAATTTTCTTTAATAAGGGTTAGGCTTTGTAGAATAAATCAGCCTTAATTAGGCAACATCTCAAAGGACACCATTGGATGTTTCAGTGAGTTCTCACAGAAGAAAATTATTGCTGCTTCATTGTTATTAAAGTTAATTTACTGCTTTTACCGACGCTACTTTTAGGTTTGGTTGTGGCCAGCAGCCCCAACAGTCAGACCTACTTAATTGTTAAAACAACACATCAGAGACTGTTTTAACATTACTGTATTTTACTTGTATGGATGCCAACTGTTAAACAATAGTCACATCCATAATAACTCTGTCTCTGTCTGTCTCTCTGCTCCCGCCCTTCGTTCCCTTCGCTCGGACACTCCTGCAGCTCTGAAGGTAAAACCACCTCTCAGCACCTTCATGCTCCTCCCATATATGGCCTCACAACCTGCTTATAATATTATTACTTAAATTATTATAGTATAGTTATTATATTATTATATTTTTTGGGGAACAGAATATTGAAAACTCTTGTCTAAAACTATAATCAATACTATTTTTCCATTTTATCTTCTATTTCCACCTTATTCAGTTTATTAATTACACTTTTTATTATTATTATTATTATTATATATAAAATATATATGTATTATTAAAAATTTTAAATAACAAATTCTCCCTGAAACACCCATTTCAACAGCAAGAAAAGTAAATAAAATTGTCATTGTCAGTTTAGTTACACTGTAAAACCATATAAGTTCTCTTAACTCAAAATATTGTTGAAATATACAGAGACAACGGAAAAAACAAAAAAACTTAATCAAGAACCTGCGTTGGGAGTCAGTTAAATAAATTGTTGGGTTCAGACAATGAGCCGACACAAACATGAGCCAGCGAGGTGTAACATGTCCTCATTGACTGTGTGTCTGATGTTGTTCCTGCAGCAGGCCGGCAGCGAGGGCGAGCTCTGCCAGGCCGACAGTCTGGGCTCCGCGGGCAGCAGCAGCACGCTCGCATCCTCCGTCATCGAGGTGGAGGCCGAGAGATCCGAACTGGGCCTGACGCCACAGCTGCGACCAAGCCAAGAGGAAGAGGTACGAGAGGGGCATATACATACATTTATTTCAATCTGAAGATAGGAGTATATTAGAAAGATGTAAAAAAATGACTTTTCCATTCTGTTTGAATGAGGAGGAAGAGGAAGAGGAGGAGTTGACCGCCCTCAGCCCTCCTCCCACGCTGTCCATCACAGAAGAGATCCTTGAGTTCATCAACCAGAGCAGAGCCAGAGAGGGACTCACCGCCATCCACACTGACACAACGGTGAGAAAAAAACACAACTCTATGAGACATAGAACACTCTGATGAGCCTAAAATAAACAGAGGTTTCTGTGATTTAATGTCAATAAACGGATCAAAATGATGCTGAAATAACAACATCATTTAAAATGCTTGTTGTCTAACTGGAGTTTGGTTGATCAGGGCTGAAACAGCTGGAATCAATATCAGTCACATATTTTCCGACTTCCTCTCTTCCTCTTCTGTATAAATATAGAGTAATATCATAGACGGTTAGTAGGGGAGAGTGAACAAAAATCCACGGTTTAAAAAATAAACTCTGTTAACCTCTCCAGGTCAGAGCAGAATCCCAATGTTTCAACAGTTCAACCTTTATATATATATACTTGCAGTTCTACTTAAGCCCTGCTAGAACGAAGGTTCAGCTGGATTAAGAAAGACACTGTTGGGTGTGAAAAAAAAAAACTAAATTATCATTTAGTATTTTTTGACTGAGGGACATATTTTATAGACATTTTATATTATATTCAATGTATTTCCTGTGAATATTGCGTGAGAGATGAGTTTTACTGATATTTTTAAGAACTTTTTATACAATTCTCTGTCTGTATTATGTATTTGTTAAATGTTTAACATCATAATGGAATGAGTGGTTTATATGTTGACAGATTCAGTGTTTAATTGAGGCTTGGCTGTTCATTCAGCTCTTTGGTTGTTTTTCTTATGCAGGACGAGGCTGTTTATCAGATACAGTGTTCAGCTCTTACATCTTAATTAATAACATAAACTTTAAAAATGTTGTTTAGTTTTCTTCACATAAAGGAGTGAAACACTGAGATACTGGCCTACTGTGTATTTTTTAAGTTTTCTTACACCCCTTAAACTCAAGAAAGCCTTGTGACCCCCCTAGTGGTGGATGAGTGCTGGTTAAAATAATCTAATAATGCAGTCCTAATGAAATATTAATGTACTTTAACCGGTTTTGACACAGTAATGCAGCTGCAGTTATTAGTAGTGGTGATAAATGTGGTTTAATACTGCAGCTCCCAGAATACAGGGTGTGGAAAAACATCAGCTTCTTAATAAAGACATAAAGCAATAGATTAGATTACATTCCAATGTCTCCGTAGGGAAACATGTTTTGGGCTCGGCCCTGCAATTCCACAGAAGATGACATACCTTAGAGAATACTGCTGCTATCATTAAAAAAAACAAACTCAGCTTCTTGGACATACAGCAACATCGTGCACAAGCCTCACGGTCAGCATACTACAGTTCTTGTTCCAGCTCTGAACCTCTGCTGGAACTCTGGATGGAGATTTTGGGTTTCTGTGCCAGTCTGATGATGGACTGCTCATAAATTGTTGTCATAATATTCATAGGTGCGTGCAAGATGACAATGAACATCTGCTGTTGCAATCTAGAGCAGAAACTGTCAACAGCACCACCCTCAGATCGCCCACTGACTTAGGATCAAACACCATCTCCTCTTTTTCACATTCAGGACAAGATAGCTTGTATGGCACCACTGCACAGATCTCAATCAATCAATCAATAATTGGCCATTTAAACATTGGGTTGATAGGCTAAAAGCAAATCTGATAAATAAGTAACCATTAAGAGCTTTAGAAACCAATAAAAGGGTCTTGAAATGGATTCTGAAGCACACAGGTAGCCAGTGCAGAGACTTTAAGATCGGTGTAATGTGTGCTCTCTTTCTGGACCTCGTCAATACACGTGCAGCTGAGTTTTGAAGTGATTGTGATTGAGTTATATTATTCAGAAAGCAGAACATTACAGTAATCAGTCCTGCAGGGAATGTCTCTGTGGAGAAACAGTCTTGTGTAAAAAGATATGACAGAGAATGTATATATGTTAGTTTTGGGGGATTCTGACTCCTTTAACACGTTTGTTGCACAGCTCTGATGAGATTTACTTCTGACTTTATTCGTTATTGATAATAGTTTTCCATCTGAGGTTGAGAGAAACATACAAGCAGATACATGAAAACATAAAAACAGATTTAGTTAGTGAATGAATTATAAAACATCAGGGATCAACCTGGAACTTAACTAGATTCCTCAGACAAAACTGACACTGCTTTCAACATATCTGCGTTCCTTTGAAAGATTTATGATTCCCACATACTTGTAAGACACAAAAATCTTAACATCTTGTCTATTTCTGTGTAATAGTGTTGGCGTCTAATGCTTCATAAGTAAGAAATGTTTATTAATTAATTAATTTGCAGTAATTTAATAGATACTCATTTTGATTTTCATCAGAGGTTGTTCTGCGAGCCGGAAGGGAAGCTTTGGTGGGTCTGTGACTCACCAGTTGAAGACTGCCCTGCACTAGAGTCTGTCATGTACTTTAAACACCAAATTTTTATACAAATAGAACAATTTTGTTGTTCTCATACTCTTATCAGTCGTGGGACTAAAACATGTAGAGAATGGGCTCAGCAAATTTAATGGAAATCCCCTGTTTGGTGATATATCCTGATATGTATGCCCGATGATAGCACTTGTGTTACCATCAGTGGGACACCAAAACCATCAGGACTCATCATCTTAGGACCAAAAATTAATTGTTTGCCATTAATTGTCAAGATGTTTTATATTTGTACAGATGGGTGTTTTCCAAAAGGTCTCTTAATGCTACAGATAAATAAACTATTATTCATACCAGAGTTCATAGTAGAATAATTGTCTTACCTTTCTTTTCAGGAGCAGGTCATGGATCAGCCCAGAGAGAGTCAGCCTCCATCTAACCAGGACAACTTCACCTGTCCACTGCCCCCAGTCGCCTACCCCTCCAGCCCAGAGCAAAGACCCACAATGCAACAGGAGCAGGAAAGAGCAGAGATGGAGAACGACAGCATCATTCAAAGTCAGACCGCTGACTCTGGAGAGGAAAATGGACTTGAAGGTGAATTTAAAGAAATTTCAGATGCAACAAGTCAAGTGGAAAAGGGTGTGGAGGTAGATGAAGAGACCCAAGGAGATGTCGTAGAAAAAGAGAAAGCTGAGAAGAAACCAAGAGATGAAGAAGAGGGAGAGAGCATCATCAATGCCCCAATATCAGATCTTCATCCCTCCATCTCAGCAGAGGAAGGAAGAGAGAACAGCAGTAGTTGTCATAGGGAAGAGGTGAACACTGAGGCCACCACTTCCTCCCTAAATCCTGATTCCCTTCATCCCATTAAGAAACGCCAGCCACCCACGAGAGGCTCTCACCTCACCAAACGTGACAAGAAGATCATCGAAAAGATCAGGAGTTATTATGAGGCGGCAGCCGAGGCCGAAGAGGACGAGGCAACGGAGGAAGATGAACAGGGAGAAGGAGCCGCATTAACAAGGAGAAACAGTTTCTCACAAATCCCATCTGGCTTGGTGAAGGATTCTGTATCACGCTTCGATGTGGGCGGACAGCCGGGGGAGCCAGAGAGCGGTCGTCCTAAGTATGAAACAACTGATAGAGAGACTGATCAAGAGACAGAGCCCCATTCCCCCACTAGTCCAATCTGTCCCCCAACCCCACTCCTAGAAAATGCAGAGAGTGAAGGACAGCCAGATAAACCAATCAGCTCCTTGGATTCTGATGCAGAGGGCTCAAGCATGTCACCAATCTCTACCGTCATGCAGGACAAGGAGACCCCAAACCAAGTGGGTCTGAATCTGCAGTCGAACTCAAACAGGCCTGTTGGAGAAGAGGTTGAGATACAGGATGAACATGGAAAGGTCTGCAAAGGACCACTGGAGGAAAGACTGGAGGAAAAGCAGGAGCAGGAGGCAAGTGTTGTGTCTACTGGGCAGCAAGAAGAGGGAGCATCTATTACCAAACAGTACAAGTGCAGCAATGAAACGACCAAAACCAGTGCTGGAAACCAAGCTGCTATGAATGGGCATGAAGCTAACCAAGCAGGTCTAGCTGAACCAAATGGAAGTCACAAAGAACCCTCTACACCTCTGCCACCAAAAGAACAATGTCAGACCAAAACCTCTTGGGCTAGAACCAAACACAGAGACCTGGGTAAGACCAGTGCGAATCTTGAGGGTTTTCCCAGTCAGATAAAAGTGGGTCGGTGGTCCCATCACTCCAGAATTGTCTCTGCAAACCGGGCATTGTTTGAGGGAATGGGATCAGACGTAGCCGGTATCGGGTTTTTTGAGGCCAGCCCTGTGGTGGACCCCATGCTGATGGAAAACTCAGAGCGTATTCTGAGTAAGGTCCAAACATTGGCCCAGATGTACAGTGCCAAAGCCAGCACCATGAAGGTCCCACTGCATCAGAAGAGGGCCAGCACCGTACGGAACCCATCATGGAGTTCAGGTAGACTGTCGGGACATTCAAATCACGCCCAAACTAAAAGTCAAGTTCAACCTCGGACCCAAACTGAGTCCCGAGAGCAAACAGAATTGAAGAACAATCAACACACAGAGACCAAAGTTCAGAACCAAACCGTAACACAGACCAAGCAGCTATCACAGTCCCAAACTAAAACCCAGACGTGCAGTCAGGAAAAGACACATTACCAAATCCAGAACCAGACCAAAACTTACACCCAGTACCAGACCCAAACCATGAGCCGGGAGGACCAAAGGATCCAGGAGGAGAGGATAATAAAGAGAGCAGAGAGTCTGACAAATGGTATGTTTGTAAAACTTCTTTAATGAGTTGGGGTTTTATAGAGATTTTATCTGGGCTCGGCATAGTTGTTGGACCTTTAAGCCTTTCTGCTATAATAACAGCTTATTACTTTGTGGTTAGCTATAATCCATTAATGAGGTATCATTTGTTTTCTGTTATAGATTTCCAGGAGGCAGTGGCAGCACCCTGTGAGCCTCTACTGTTTGGTCACATGTTTGTCAAAGAGCAACTGACTCCAGCCTGTCAGCACCAGACAAATGGATTCACCCTCTCCAGACCCAGGGACTTCATCACAGCCTTGACCAAAGAAAAAGACCCCAGTGGGGAAAATCCATCATCCAGTCAGGCCCAAGCTAATAGCTCCAACTTCGGGTACCCCTCTGCTGCCTCGTCCTCGGCTTCTATGGCTTCCATGACCTCGGATTGCAGAGTCACTGAGGTCAAGGACTACCGCTCTACGTCATCCACAGGGAGAGATAAAGCCTTGAACCAAAACAGGGAACTTTATTCAGATTCTGAAGAGACAGAGAAAAGAGAGGGGTGAGTGGATAATATTTACAGGAATTGGCAGTATATGACAAACAAGAAAGTAAAGGAAGGAATAAAAATGTATGATGTTAAGATGATAAATCAGTCCCCTTCCAGGATTTGTGGCCTTTTTAGGGAAATATTGCAGCCTAAAATGCTGATTTTCAACATTTTGAAAAAAATCATGTTTTTTTTTGTATATAGTTCATTAAAAATTGAAGACAACTTGTTCCAGTGAAATCTGGAATACCAACAAGAAAGCATGCTTCCTCTCTACGTTACTGTATATGTATATTTAATCTTAACTCACCTTCATTCTTTAAGCACAACAGACTTGGATGCAACAGCCTCAGTCATGGTGTTAGTAGGAAGGAAATCAATGACTTTAATTTGTTTTTCCACAACGTTGCAATAGTTTACAGCAACTTTAAAACAGAACATCAGGGAATTGTCTTGCGTTATCTTTAGCTATAATTTTTGTTGGTAAATATGAGACGTTGCACATGTTTACATGGTCTTCATCTGCAAAACTAGAAACAAGAAAGTGAGTTCAGTAATTTTCCAGCAGGAATCTAACCCATTGCTTCTTTCTGTCTGGACTTGTATCCTAAAGGTTTGTTTTATTCTCTTCCTGGTTCTCTGCAGGTCGGAACTGTGTGGTGGAGATTCATTTTATGCAGTTAGGGAAGACTCAACATCTGTAAACATCATTACCCAGCCAGCACACTCTGAGTCTAATCTGTTTGCTCACAGCATACCACAGTGGGAGATTTCCAAAGATGGAGATGAGCATGATAAATATAAGCAGGATATACCAGCTGCACACGATATACAGGATAAAGTTGTATCAGAATACAACATTTCCACAGGACATACTGACAAGAAAGACACGTTAATCAAAGATGTTCAGAGTGTTCATGCAGGGACTGAATACTTGGTTTGCACAGGACCCATGGATGGAGCGGCAACCCCAGGAGAGCTGGTATTGATGGTAGCAGCTATACAGAGCCAGGCTCCAACAGAGTCCCACAGATCTGCAATGCCTCACCCAGGACTGGCTGGAGAGCAGGTCCATGAGGAAACACTTTACGTGGTGGACGGAGGTGCCACAACTTCTGGAAAGAAAGATGAGCCCCCAAACGAGCAGACGAAACTAAATGAAACAAAGAATGATTTGAATTACTCTTCATCACAACCCAGGATGATTCTACAAGGTTCAGCAGTAATCTTTTCAGGAGACCCAGCTTGTTACAAATCCCCAGGAGAACTTGTAGTTCCACCAACCCTGAATCAGCCTTCACACATGACCTTTGACCCCTCGCAGGTTTCTAGTCATACAGTCACAGAAACCCCAGAGGATCAAAAAGCAAGAGGACGGGCAGCTCCAACTCCCTGGTCATCAGCTCAAAACTCAAATCTTACCCAACCTCGCCCTCCATCGGTGCAGTCTGTAGACTGTCTACCAACATTCACCAGCCAGAGGCCGCCAGACCTACCCACTACAATGGGAAAATGGGCTCTGTCTAACACCAGGAATACCAATAACACCTCTCCATGTGAACATAGGTATGTCTGGGGCAGATTAAAAACAATAATCACTACCCACAACTGTTTCTTAACATCTGTTTACTATCAGGGGAGAGATGGTAGATGTTCAAGGAGCACCCTGGTAGTGGTCCTTACCTGTCTTTGGCTGCCTTTGTCTAATAAAGGCAATAACATATATAATCTTTAAAAAAAGAAGATAGATTTTCAACTCAATCTATATAAACCTGATCCTTAATCCTGTCGTCAGCGGAGCCTGTCCTGGCCTAAAATTAACTCCGACGCAAAATCCCGTCAATCACTTCAGTTTGAGTTTAAAATAAACATCTGGGCTGTCCGAATGAAGCGTGGCCCATTCTTTTGACCTTTTGGCTCTTGTGCAAACTTGTTTCAATTCACATTTTGTCACCTTTTATACATCAATGCTAAATATAAAAACCTGTGACCATCTAATCAGACTGTGAATTAATTGATTTTTGTGGAAAAGAAAAGTTTTAGCCAGGACATGTGTTGAAGAATGGGCCTAAGGGCTTTTCGGAAGTGTTAGGACTTGGTACATGCCAGAGAATATTACAGTACAGTGTGGAATGTGACCTTGCTTGTTATTGGCAGGAAATTTGCCTTCAAACACTTCACCTCAACTCACACTTAAACTGTATGTGTGTGGCCGTAAAGCAAGGTTAGGATTCTGCCAAGCTGGTGGGAAATTATGTTACTGAAATCACAAACAGCAGCATAGAAGTTGAGAGCAGCAGCTGTGGTTCTGTTTATTTTGGGCCCCCCCCCGATCCATTTCATTATAGATGACATCTTTTATAATCACAGCTACACTAGGATATACTGCACATAAAAACTGTTAGATTTTAGCACTAACAAGAGTTCTACATAAATCAGATATATGTTATTGTAAAATGCAAATTCAAGATGTAATAGAGGCAGTAATGAAACTCAGAGGACAATGCGTTCCCTTTCCCCCTTTTGGAGCCATGACTCCATGACGTCTTAGCAGAGACAACCTCAGTCGACCCCGAAGCACATGGGTAGGAGGAGTTCCTATAAACCCCTAGGCCTCACTTTAGCCCTACTTAGGACTACCTACCTACCTACGTACCTACCTACCCTACCTAGTAACTCACTGAAAAACTGAAACTGCTCGAGCTACTATTATTTTTTTAATTACCAAATGAATAGCATTTTTGGAGGCTGTAACATGCTTGAAAACTCATGAAACTTTGCACAAAATTCAGTGGTAGTGAAAAGTATTCTATTGTTCCCGTACATGGGCGTCGCAAAATGGCTTAGCCATGCCACCCAGAATCAGCCCCAAGACATGTACGACCGACATGTATGAAAATTAGTATACATGTGTATCATGATCAGACAAGCAAAAAAGCCTTTTTGACCCCAAACTTAACAGGAAGTCGGCCATTTTGGATTTAGTGATTTTGTTCTGTGATTTTTTCGCGTTGTATTTGAACGAACTCTTCCTAGGGAATTGAACCCTTGTACTGAGTTTTCCAGACTCTTCACAGACAGTCTAGAGCAGGGGTCACCAACCTATTTGAAACTGAGAGCTACTTCATTGGTACTGAGTCATACGAAGGGCTACCAGTTTGATACACAAATTTGCTCAGTTTGCCTTTAGTTATATATGATTATTAATGATTAATGATCCTCATCTATGTGAAGACACTGATCACGTTAATTTCTCACAATAATTATCAACAATGACTTAACAAGGTGGGAAACAGATAATATCAATATTCAACACTTTATTTCTATTAATCTCAGCAATTGTTTAAATTTTCAGATGATCACTTCTACAACATTTCATAGGAAAAATGTCCCATTTTCACTAACAAACACTTTTAACAAATCATGAACTATGTTGCACCATGTTTGAACAAGTTATGTTTAAAGAAAATGTTTAAGAACAATCAACTTTCACATTTTTAACTAATGACCAAATCTGCGTCATTTTTAACAAAATTATATCTGTTACATTTCATGAGCACACTGAATTGAACACAATGTTTCAACATTCGCCTTTTTTTAACTCTTCGCCTTTTGACTGCATGAACTCTTTGATTTCACCCAAAAGTGAGAAAAAACGAAGTAAAACTCGTCCTCTGCTGAGCCATCGGATTTCGGTGTGTAGCAGCAGGTCACCATATTCAGGACATCTCCTCCAATAGCACCTTGAATATGCCGGTGCTGTTTCGCTTTTGGACGGATGTCTGTTTATGATTTTTACAAAGGGATCCATCACGTGCCCGAAAGCCGCTGATCACTGGGTTGCAACATATCGCACTCTTGGTGAATGACTGCAATGGTACTTTCAGAAATTTTGGGAAGTCTTGGCACCGTTTACAGCGATGATGAAACCTGTATTTCATTAGCAGGAGGCCCCGTTCTGTTAGTCACCTACAAGTTTTTCCAATTGGCACGTTTTTCTGCCGAAAAACTCTTCACCGCGATTATAAATAGTCAAACTCCCCTCGTAGTTGTTCTTTTTTGGGCTAGTAGTGTCAGGGCATGTTCCTCTTTTGTGGTAAGAAATCATCAAACACCATCCGGATAAAGACCAACAGCTGCTTGTTTCTTTTCTTTTCTTTATGTAATAATAATATCAATAACATTAATCATATTAACAATGGCTGTAATGGTAATAATGACACTGCTTATATTAATAATAGTATATGCTAATATTATATAATAGTAGTAGAAGTAGTAACAGTATTGGTAGGTATTAGTCAAAAATGAGCAGATTCATTCAATTCAGCAGATGTGAAATCGATTTGATTGTTTTTTAATGCTATTTGTCTTTCTATTGCGGTGCGATCGGCTAGTAGGGTGTGTTAAATGATAGTGGTTTATTTTGCATCTGAAAGTCAGGATTGTGCCATATTGGGGTGAGTTTGGACTGTCAGAATCGCTGCAATAAATGTGTTTTTGAAACAGGTAAGGAAAGGGAGGTCTTTCATTGATAAATCTTGGCATTCGTATTGTTTTATATCTAGCCAGAGGAACTGTGATTGTTGAGATACTTGCAGCCAGATAGATATGTACTCTAGATGGATTGCTAGGTGGAGTCTGAGATTCCCCCCTTCCCCTTGTCGAATGGACTGTTTAAAGATTTCCTTTCTAAATCTGCACTTCTCTGTCATTTCCAGGGAACCAGATGAGCAGGGATCCCCCACCAGCCTGCCCGTTTCAGGCAGTTGCCCATCTTCCAGTCCCTCCTTGGAGACATCCAGCCTGGTGGAGAGACCTAACCCAGCCAGTGCCATCCATGGCCAGGACATAAGCCTCACCACCGCTCCCTCAGCCTTCAGACCCACCCTCAGACACCATGCCCCTTCTCCTGTTCAAGCTTCTCCTTCCTCTTCCTCCTCCTCTGTTCAAACACCTCCTTGTTCCTCACCATTCAGGATTGTTCCTGGATCTTCTCCCACCCCTGTCTCAGCTGAAGATACCTCCCTGAACCCTGTCTCCAGGGCTCTTCCCTGTTTATCTCCTACTCCCTCCTCTGGGAAGGGTTCCTCAATGCAAGCTCCCCCTGCTTCCTCTCCTACATCCTCCTCTGCTTTTACTCCCTCTTCCTCTTCTTCTGGGAGATCTTCATCCATAAGAGCAGGTCCTCCTTCGTCCCCTACACCGTCTTCTTCTCTCCGCTCTCCTCCATGCTCTTCCCCCATTGCTTCTTCCTCTGCGTTTACCAGATCCTTCGCCGCCTCCTGTATCAGCCAGTCCATCAGTCAAAGTATTGCAAGAAAGAGCACTGCCCTGCAACAAGCCCCACCCACAAACACAGTACCCCAAAGCCCCTCTTCTCATCTACGACGGCGCTCCCCTTCACCTAAACTCCCTCCTAGTAGTCAGCAGGGCTCCAGCACACCTGCATATTCCCAACTGGGGTGCACTAAAGATGGGTACCAACATCCAAGGTGTCCGCCATCTTCTCTCTGGTCCTCTTGCCCTTCTGCGTCTCTCATGTCACCTCCCACTTTTTTCCAAAGCTCTCCTTCCCCATCTTTGAGTCTGGCCCATCAGCCTCCCCACTCTCCTTCCCCTTCCCCTCGTCACTCATTCCTTCACTCCAAAACAGACTCATCACACAATGCAAACAACAATAACAACGTTAGCTTAGCTGGTAGCTGTAGCATTAACCGTGCCGTCAGTAATGGGGGTTGGACAGTAAGTCCCCAGAGGGCGCCATTAGCGAACGGTAGCAGTAACGCCATAGTAATGCAACAGACCCATGATACTTTCTGGTCGGGGTCACACAACCGCGTAGCTCGGCCTTTTTCGGCTTCAGAACCTAGCTCACGAGTCCAGTCCCCATCTCCCTCTCCAATCCCTGCCTCATTTACTCGCCTGACCTCCCCACCTCCTCAACATAACTACTCCTCCCCCATGGCAAACAAACCTCCCAACCCCCGGAGCACACGGGTAGGATGTGCAAGTTCCCATAACCCACTAGGCCTCACTTTGGAGCTACCCAGGGCCTCTTCAGCAGGTTCAGCATTTGGGCAGTCTTCCACATGTCTAAGCCCTCGGATCCTCTCCCCGCCTCCTATTGGTGTATCAGTAAATGTTTGGACAAATAATGTTGCAGCACCTCAACCTAGAAACCCTAGATACACTTTGTGCTCTCCCTCTCCGTCGTTTTCGTCCTCATTAGGCTCACCAACACTGGAGAATGCCTCTTTCCCCACTGCCTCTTCTTCTTTGATCCCTCTGCGTAGTTCCAGAGCCTCCTCCCCTTCTACCCCCTGTCCTCCTGCATCCCAAACAACCTCTCAAACCCTCCGTAGGTCTTTCTCCTCCAACCTAGCAGACAGACCCCCTAGCCCGGCCCGGAGCAACTCTAGTGGAGCACGCCGCTCATGGGCAGACAGCAGTCGCAGGTCCCTTGGTTTTAGTGGTAGTGGCCGAGGGTCCTTTGACCAGCAGGAGTCCTGTCCAACCAGTCCAAGGAGCGGATGGTCCTCATTCAGCAGCTCACCGTCCTGCCTCAGCCCTCGAGCCGGGCTTCAGTCCCCACTCTCACCTAGCAGGCTTACCCCAGGGAAGGGCACCCATGGGGGGCAGCATTTCACCAGTGTGCCCTGGCCAGATGTACGAGAGCTTTCAAACAAATATAATGGAACTGATGGCCTTGATACAAGTGCTACTTCCACCATCATTGCCTCGTCACCTTGTCCAACAGACAGCCAGACAGAATGGGGAGACCCAGAGCTAGAAGAGGGCAGTTGTCGTAGTCAACTTATCTGTGCCTATGTTGCCCGGCCCTCCCGTGAACAAAACCTCACCACCTCATGTGTGGTTCTCCCTTCCTCAGGCATGATCTCGCCTCCACTTGCCCCATACCAGCACCACAATTACCAATCCCAAGTAAAAGCACAGTCTCAGGTCCAAATCGCTGCCACAACACCTCCCATACCCTCAGTCCCTTCCCCCTTGCCTGCAACCTCATTGCCACTACCCTTTGCCCAGTCATCTCCTACCAAACAGGGGAACCAGAAGACCAGTTATGCTACTACGGTCAACCTCCAGATAGCTGGAAGCGGCAGAATAACTTCCTTCAGCACAGCCCAAGTTAGCCTGACCCAAACCCTGCAGGGTGGAGCCGGAGCCGGAGCTGGAGGACCAGGACAGGGGCAGTTGACGAGAAGAGTAAGCATCAACGGACTGTCGCACCTTCCTTCCCCTCTTCCTCAGAACTATAACAGACTATGAGAGAAAGTGAGAAGTCTTCCTTTTATGGCTTTACAAGACAAGAAGGGGCCACGCAGAAATGGTGACGGAAAGAGAAGAGGTATTAGAAAAGATGTGCACTTGTGAATTTGCCCCAAACACAAAGTGTACATCGGATGGTGGATCTGGTTTCTATTCAGTGGACCAGAAACTCCAGAGATATTGCCTGGCTTGTCGTGAACCATGAACCCCTCGAGTCCCCCATGTAGAAAAGGATCTTTCTCAAATCGTTCTTCAACTTGGGAATAAGGTCACATCTGAGGGACATAATGAATGTTGTCAAGCCTACTCGACACTGATTTTAGGAAACTCCCCTCAGTGGGATGGGATGCGTTTGGGGTCCGATGTAATGCGGACTATAAATTGAATCTTGGTGGCTTCTGGAAAAGCTTCATACCAAAGCATTAAACAGACAACCTTTCAAGAATGAGAATTCTACCTGCACATGGGCTCGTATTTTTCAGTCTGGGCTAATAACTTTGAACGGATGCGAATTCATCCTTATATTGTAAAAAATAAATAAAAAATAAAGGTTAAAAATGGAAATGAGCTGTGATCTTGCTGGATAAGCACCCAAAACCCTGAATGTCCACAGCTAGATGATCCGATTACACTCCTGGTCTCACAATTGATCCTGTTTGAAGTTACTCAGTTCACTTTCTGAACTCTGAACTCTTTCTATGGATGTGATGACTTCTTGGAGGAGCTTTTTTTAGACACTTTTGTAAAATTCAATCTGTAACTTTAAGCATTGTTCCATTTTTGTTAATTTGGTGGACATGTTGAAGGTCCAGTATCCAACCAGTGCTGTATGCAATCACAGTTACTTAATGTATTATTATTTTTGTTACTATTTTGTTAAGTTTGTTTGTTGTTTCTCTATTTTTTTTTAAATATTCTGTTGAACAAGCATCAGTGTCTGGCCATGTGAGGCCAGTGTTTAAGGTTGGTGATAACTGTGGTTTTTAATAATCTTCTTTTTTAACCATTTTATTATTCGTTTTATTTTATTGTTTATTTATGAAGTTAGTCTTATTCTCTTTGGCACTTATTATCCTTAAAGTAATGTCGGTATTTTGCACAGCGTCCTCAGCTCTTGGGTGCATGCATCAAGTGTGAGTGTATTTGGGTGTGTGAGTGTCTGATATGACGTGTCTGGGAGGTTCTCCTTGAACTTCAGACCAAACCAATATCTGTGTGTTTTTAGTGCTATGTTTGTATTGATGTACTCAGTTGGTTCTTTGACTTTAGACTCCTTCCTGTTGTCAGTGTCCTTCAGAAACCTTGTATCTTGGGTTTTCAAAAGTTGTAACAGAAAGTCGACCGGTTGGAAAATTCTGCGGGATATTTGCATACGATGAAAGGTTTTAACTTCGTAGTAGTTTTGGCAATACACATGTGACGTATCGACTCTTTCATATGTTAACAGTTGATGATAACCCTAATGCTTAAGGCTTATAGTGTTAATAAAAAACCAGCAGGTCAGTTTACATTGAATTTTTATTCTGGTTTAATGTCCCTTCACATTCAAACAATGACTTGCTGATTATACACCAGATTCTGTCAAAGTATTTGAAAAAAAAAATGAGTTTAAAGATGGGATTAGTGTTTTTAAAATCCAATTTCATGTTATCTCCCAGTTTTTAAATGCAATTAAACACTTTCCTTTAACAGTAACAAAAATGCTGTTAAACTTGAGGTTGTAGTGTCACAAACCATTTGGAGGTCAAATATAAAAAATAAATTAAAGAGACTTGTGGTATCTGCAGGGCGCTGGTGACAAACTGGAGATAACATAATGTTTTTGGGAGCTGGTAAAAAGGGCAATATTAAATCTTCATCCAGTAACCCTCATAGAATCATTGAGATGTACGGAAAATAAAGGTATGTGGTGCAAAATCAAAGTGACTCATGCTTTTTTATTTACTGTTAACTCTGTTACTCCAACTAACAATGTACTGATGCTGCTAACAGAGCTGTGACAATAACAACGTTTGAGGAATTTCTGTAAAATAACTGAAAATAACTGACTCATAAAAATAGTTGTTTTTTCTATAATTAAAATACAGCTTTAATTTTAAATACAATCTTGTTATTTCTTGTCTTTTTAATGTTTAATTAAAGATATTTACACAATAAAAACAATGCAATGAGCTATAAATACAGATGAACTATAATAGAAATAATCAGCCTTACATTTACAGCAGAGTGCTGTTATTATTTGCTTATTCTTATTTTAATCTGAATTTTAAAAGTTCTAGAACTGTAATAAAAGTAATTATCTGTGAAATTACTATAATTATTGCTGTTTTCACTGATAAAAACTGTATTTAGACAGTTTACTAATGCTTATACACTAGGAAACAACATTTATTCAACATTTCTGTGTAAAATTACACAATAAATACTTTTAACTGTTAATGTCACTAATTTTTATATCATTTCAGAAATTAATTAACAGTATTGAACTTGAATTTAACAGTTTAATCTACTAAATAAACAGTAAATATCTGTGAAACAATTATAGATTTGCAAATGTATTTTAATCTTTTTATGTGAAAAAAATAATGTTATATTTAAATAAGCAGTCATTTTATGATTATTTATTATTTAGGATTTTTCATTTTGCATTAGACATGTAAATTCACAGGCTATTTTGGGAATTTTATTAATATTTCCATGTATTTGAAAAGAAAAACACCATAAAATTACAGTTTTGTTTACAGTTAAAAAAAAAGAGTAAATCCAACACTGAAGTAACAAAACCTGCAGTTCCTCTTACGGCCACTAAAGGCTCCAGCAGTGAGTCAATCTCCATAAGGCTTCACAGTAAAATGTCCTGTAAGCTACGTGCATGTCTTCCTTATCTGTGTCACTTTACCCGGTTTGACTCCACACAGTCCCCACCAGGTGACTGTCCCCAGTGAGTTGCCCAGGAGGCGGTGGTGCCACGCTGGGTCGTCCCCAGGTGACTGTCCCCAGGTGACCGTGCAGGACTCTGGCCCTGATAAGAGAAATTAAATGAGAATGCACAGCCTTAAAGAGGGCAGGTGCCGAGCCCACACCGCCATCTTATACACATTAAACAGCCACGTGGAACAAGACTCTAACAAATTAAAGGAAGAACCAACATAAACCGACTGACCCCAAAACTTAATTTCTTACTTAAGTATCGCTGGTTCCACCTCTGTTTACCTGGCTGCTGTGGAAAAAGGTATTTTGTCACTTGAGTCTGACGAAGAGCAGCTTTAAACGTCACCTTTATGTAATTAACTGGACACTGGAGGCCTGCAGTGTGCGAGCTGTTACTTTCTTCTTTTCACAGACGAGCGGAGGTCAGTAGAAGCTGGCAGACAACCAGCTGTTAGGATCTTTGGTCATGACATGTCTGCTGTGAGCTTTGTGAAATCAGATATGTTCTGAAAGGCTGCAGCTCTGTATCAGGTCATGCTTTGCAGGTATTTAATCTTTGTGATAAGGGCAGCTCAGTTTCAGTTTTGGTTTACACCAGATGCGTAGACTTTGACCCTATTTTTAGGCTCCTTTTGTTCGCTGACACATGCAGCTCACTCTGCAGCCGTCCTCAGGAAATCTCTCAAGGTAACTACTGATCTTTATTCCTTCAGTTTGATGAAAGCTCCTGCTGGTTTATAGCTCTGAGCTGCTTCACAGACATATTTAACAGATTTAAACGCATAAGAAGGGAAAATATTTCTCAAAGGCATGATAGCAGTTAGCAGTGGTGCTACAATGTGACTAATAGCTGGCAGCTCTGTCAGGCTCTACAATGCTAACAATGCTAGCTTGCTCAGATTGCTAGTTATCACTGAATCCAAAGTACAGCTGAGGCTCATTAGTTCTGCAGATCATAAACCAAAGTATAGACCCTTTTTCACAGAAGCCTTTTTGAATAGAATAGTAGGGTAAACGCAGGTGTTATACTGATACCTAAATAAGGTTTTGTTAGTCAAACTGAGTCAGGGTGCTGCTATTGTGAATGTTAGCTCACTGAATGGTGAGTAAGTGTAACTATTCAGCTACTTACTAATATGAGTGTCAAAATGGCTGCTGCGAAAAAGGTCTGTTGGACAAATTAAAATGTTGGTGCTAGATAAGGAGTGTAAACATGAACGTCTCAAACCACATTTTATGTAAATCCATCCAATAATGGTTGAGATGTTCCTCACAATACATGGAAATATTAATAAAATGTTCCTGTGAATTTACATGTGCAATGTAAAACAATGTGACAAATCTGTAAAGTAATTATAAAATTACTGCTTTATATTTATTAGAAAAACTATTTACAGAACAATTTCTTTTAATAAAAGCAATTATTAGATATTGACACGTTACGCTGATGATACCCTAACTAGTTTAGCTGCTGTTTGGTAAGTAAAATTAGACTCTGAGGCTTCTCAATCAAATATTAGTTTTTGTTTCAGGATGTTAGTTTTAAGCTCTGAGAGTTTATTTAATTTAAACAGCATCCACCGGCCCTCATTCTTTATCGTTCTGCCTCAATATTTTTGTTTGTAAAGAAATCAGATTTCTTTTAATAAAATACTTCAATTTACGAGCCGGTTCGTAACATTTGTACTAAAGTATACCAACTGTACCAACTGTGAACCTATCGTCCACCATCGTTTTTTGCAGCCAGCGGAGGTCACGTAAAGCGAGTTGAGCTGCTCTCATTGGCTGCTCTCCTGCTCACACAGGATCTGGTGTTCCAGATAAACAGTAAAATGTGTTT